ACTACTGCTACTACTAATACTACTGCTACTACTACTACTACTACTACTGCTACTACTGCTACTGCTGCTACTACTACTACTACTACTACTACTACTGCTGCCGCTACTACTACTACTACTACTACTACTACTACTGCTACTACCACTACTACCACTACTACCACTACTACCACAACTACTACTACTACTACGACTACTACTACTACTACTACTACTACTACTACCACTACCACTACCACTACTACTACTACTACTACTACTACTACTACTACCACTACTACTACGAAGTCCAAGTACCCGATAATAGCATCCTCTTCTAGTACCCTTTTGCTACTATTTTGGTACCCTGAAAGTATGACAATTAACTTTCGGCCGGCCAGGTAGGCGGTCCTCCGCCGCCGGTGGCAAGCTGGGAAGGCGAAGCAAATCTCCTGATCATTCCAGGCCAACCCTCCCGTGTAGGGTTGTGGCATTGGGCTCTGGGCTCGTTAACAGGGTTTCAGGTTCAAGGGCTTTCGTCTGAAGGCTTCGGTTTTGGTCCTTTTCGGGCAGGACAATCCCCAAAGTATACTTGTTAACAGATACTCCTAGGCCCTCAGCCAGACGGGAGTCAAAAACACACACACGAAAGCTCCGCTATCCCCGCAGCTTTGTCCCAAATCGCTGCCCCGACATGCTGCAGTGCAAAGTGGCTGACTTGTTTGAGTGTTCCGGGCAAATCGATCTGTCGGACTCACCCGAATGTATGGGGCCTTCTGCTTCTTCTGTATTTGGCTGTCGCGAAGATGGGGTCGGTGTGGGGCCATGCTCATGGAACCGTTCTGCTTCGGGAAGAAAGCAAAGCCGTGAGGCGCAGCAGCGGCGCGAGCGAACATGCCGGGAATCCCAGTCCTAGTGATGCGGCTGGCTATGTCGCGAGCTAGCAAGTCAAGCAGCGGACAGGGAGAAAGACAGAGGAACAACGACACACAGCAGCGTAAGACGGCTACTCCAGGCAATCACTTCAAGTCGGCGTAGGTGCTGTGGGTTCATGCAGGCGTCTGGGCCTTGCATGAGCTTTGCCGACGAACCAGAAAGCCTGAATGGACACTCTCGAGCTTGATTTCGGAGCTCGCGAGCTTCAGACCCCAACAGCCACATGGCCCAGGATGGAGATCCGGGGCTCCCTGGCGGCAGCCTGCACCGTATCACGTGACTGCTTGATCTCTTGCGTCCAGTTCCACGGCATGAATATGTTTATGTATACGTTCATGTACACGTATGTATAGATATAGATAGATAGATAGATAGATAGATAGATAGATATGTATGTGTCTATGTATGTGTCTGTGTATATGCATGTGTATATGTATATGTATATACAGCGGCAACTGTGCGCGTCTCTGCAACTTCACGCGCCGGGGTGGGAGCTGAGTGTATGCAGGTTCACCGGAATCGGCTTTCCGATGTTCGGCATGCCTGCTAGACCAGCAACACGAGTCCAAGAGAGGGCTACACAGTTCACAAACCCCGTTCTGTTTTTGAATTGAGTAGTGGGACTGGGTTCCGCTGGCAGCAGTAGAGGCAGAAGTAGTCGTCGTCGTCGTCGTCGTCGTCGTCGTCGCCGTAGCGAGTAGGAGTAGGAGTGGAGCCGGGCTAAGAGTAGGAGTAGAAGGAGGACGAGTAGGAGGAGTAGCAGGGTAGGAGGAGTAGAAGGAGTAGGAGGAGGAGAGGAGGGCAGAGGGAGTAGGATCAGGGGCAGGGCTAGGGGAAGGTAGAGGTGAGAGAAGAAGAAGTGCAAGTTGAATAGGAAGTCACAGTTGTGGTAGTGGTGGCTTGGCTAGTAAATTAGTAAACCCTCGGCCGAGGAACGAAGTATCAGAGGAGGAGATGCGGGCAGACCTGTTCTTGAAGGCAGACGCTGCCTTTTTCCCTCACCCGGACCACCCTGTTGGCATTACAGAATCCATGACGGATTCCTTCGGGCCCGTAAACCCTGAACATTTTGCTGGGCGAACGATCTCAGGGACCTTACTTCCTGACCAACCCGAGGCCTCCTCGCCACTATACTCACTATCGAATCATGGAAGAATTGTGAGCCTTTTCTATGCGGATTGTCAAAGCCATCCGTCTTGCCGGAGGCACGCTCGAATCTAGGAACGGGCCAGCTCGGGAGATTCTGCGGTCAAAGTGCATTACAAGTCCGTTTTCCTTCTTGGACATGGAGAACTGAAGGAGGGCGCCTGCTCCAGGCCACCTACCTTCATCTTGGAGCCTTCAGGCAGCACTACCTACACCCAAGCCTGAAGGGCCAGCGCCTTTGCTGCAGATGAGGCCCTGGATATCGGGCACTTTGGTTTTCCCATGGTCGACGTCAAACAGCCGGGAATGTGAAGCTATACCAGCAGAAATACGATGCCAGCTGGGTATTCCTGTCGAATTCTGTGCTGAACTTTTAACTCTAGACCCAATGGTTCGTCGGACTCCTGCATTCCGGGCTATGTTCGTGTACTATTGTGCCTTTTCTTGCTCTGTCAACTTCAGATCTATGGACGCTTTGCATCGCCTGGAGAGTCCGCGTGTGAGTGCCGAAAGTCTAAAGCCCTGACAAAATAAATGCAAATCCTATTCTTGCTTTCCTTATTACAAGTGTAGTCGAGTATACCCCAAAGCTCCAGAACCCTCTTCGAATTTTCTTATTATACTTATGATTCTCGGCATTTTCGTGCCACTGTTCTCACCCGCAGAGGAGGCCTTCGCTGAGCGATGCCATCATGGGTGAGAACGGCGAGGCAGCCAATCCTTGACCTGTGTCATGTAAACACCTCGCACACAACCTCTTGCACGCTTTCCTGGAGAACATGTCATGAAGCCTCAATGTAAGCACTTCAGCACGCTACACTCATGCAAGAAGGCACGGAGCATCCTCCTGCCTTAGCAGCCTACAGCTTCAGGCTTGTGATGCTATGCTTGTTGCTGGGAGCTTAAGCCTAAGCATGCCGAGAGTGCACTTGTTGCACCAGGTACTCTTCCGCAGCTTGATCTCTCAGATCGTCGAGCCTTGGTGTTCTAGGGTCCCGAAATTTCTCCCTCCCGGCCCAACACCAGACCTATATAGTTTCAACTTTAGATGAGTGCGGACTCCAGTCGGCGGTAGGTATTGAATCCGTGTGTCTGGGAGAAGTTTGTCAGTCCAAGAGGTTTCGACGCTCACACTCTCCAAGAGGTTTAGGGTCTAAGGATTTGCCATCGGAGATGCTTCGGCGAGCTGCTTGGTGAGATGAGGACGTGCGCTTTCGGTGAGCTGACTGTGTTTGCTGAACCATCTCGCGGCATTTTGTTCAACATGTTCCAGTTGCAGCTATGTGGGTCTTGGCAGCTTTGCAGTTATTTGACAACACAAGGCTGTGCGCCACTTCATCAACACGGAGCGTGCTCGCTGCCTCTTCATCGTGAAGAACTCGCTCATCCACCAAGCGCGATTGGAGCCAGCCTGAGAAACGCCTTCGAGCATCCGAACTCCTGAAATGAAGCCCAGCGGAGCATGGGAGTACCTGCCCCAAAGCCAAAAAAAGCCAGACCAAGGAGCTCGAGGCCAGCCAAAGAACCATCTCCATCCTGGAGTCGGTGGGAAGCTGAGGGTTCGATGTTAAGGAGCACGATCTGCAAAGCTGAAGTTTGCCGCAGATTTTAGCGATTCGCGGGCTCGACCCTGCAGCGCGCTCGTCGCATGCAGGGGATGTCTTTAACCGGCCTTCGCGAAATCCGAAAAGTTTGTGCAACAGAGTCCCAGTTTCCTCTCGAGCGCCCGCCCTTTCGGAAGCAAGTGCTTTCGCCAAGGACCCAGACGAAGTGGAGAGGCAGATGAAAGAAGGAGCCTTGCATAGATCCGTTGGGAAGGGGGTCTGGATTGTGAGTATTGCGAGGATGCTGCCTACAGCTACTTGGGTTATGTTCCTGCAGGGGCGTGATGGAAGATGCCCACTTTGTTGTCAGGCCCGCCTGTGTGCAAAATTAAGTCGGCTTTAGAGGTAAAGTAGCAAACCAACAGGAAGCAACGCCATACACTGCTATTGCCAGAAACAGAGTTCGACGACAAGGACACACCAACGATGATAGCAGTCACGCCCAGAACAGCAGGAACAAACACAACACTCATCATCATCATCATCATCATCATCATCGGGAACATTGTCATCGCCTCATCGGCACCATTGTTTCCAACTGCGGAAATTCCGACAACCTCAAAACTCAAAATATGTGAGGTCTCCAAGTGGCTCGGTTCCCTTACTGATGAAGGCTTACCAGACAACATGTCCTACGCAGCTCACTCACGTATGTCCCCTACTGAGACAATCCTCAGCAGTGGAGGGGGGGGTGGAAGGACCCCAGTACTTCTTGGTTGCCCTACCCCTATCACGTCCTAACCTTGGTATGTCGGGGGCCACAAAAAAACACACGAGCCTCCTGAGAAGGGCTTATGTGATGAAACATGCAATGTACGAGTGGCCACTGCGGGATGCAAGCTTTGGGACGCCTTGCCGTCATCATCCACGCTGTTTGTATCAACGCAAGCTTCCACTAGCTCGGTGACCGCAGGTTCGCCGAGCCGGACGCAGACTGTTTAGAGCGAAGACATATCATCATTTTGTTTGTAGAAATATCCTTGCCATGCTTAAACTGGCGTGAACAGGCAGTTCTTGAACAGCGATCTCAAGCTGCGACTTCAAGCGCAGCTTTCCCACCTCACTTTGTGCAGGTCTGTTGGGTTTTGCGCCTGTTGGAAGCAAAGCCAAGGAACCACTCAAACCCGTCCCAGGCATAACGTACTGGCCCCGAAATACACTTGAAATTCGGAACCCGGAGCTTCATTCTGTGCGCGATGTCTCGTTCAGGCGTGAGTCTGAGACGCAAAACTCAAAATATCTGCAAGAGGCTCAGTTCCCCTGCTGATGAAGGCTTGCTACTGTCTTTTGCAAATAACGCACCTATGTCCCTACCCCCAATGAGATAACCCTCAGCAGGGGGGGGGTGAAGGACGGCAGTACTTGTGATCCTGCTGTCGGTTTCCCGTGCGGCTATGACGTCCTAAGCCTTGGTATTGTGTGCGTCACACGCATGCGCAGCCAGAAACGACAACAGTAAGAGCATCACCATCAGCTTGCAGCAGCAACAGCAGCAGCAAGGACATCATCAACAACAACGACGACAACAACAAGAGCAGCAACAGCAACAGCAATACAGGGACGGGCGACCACTCCGCAAGACCCCTCCACACCCAACGCCGGTGCCATTTTCAAAACTTCATCACCCACAGCTATTGCTGAGCCACCACAGACAATATTAGCAAAAAGGGAAGCATCACCTGCAGCTTCCACGCACCGACAACAAAACGTTGTCAAGAAGCACCTACTACACAGTCGTGTCTGTTGCTACAGCCAGGAGGGCCGTTGTTTCCTGCACTGAAGAAGGCAAAGGAAAGCTCGGCGACTGCGAAGGACGGAAAGGGTTTAGTGTTCAGGAACTTGAGGTCGCTGGCAGTTTGGAAATCGCACGGAGCTTAGATGCAAACCAAAGCGTTTCCGATGGATTCAACATAAGCCCAGTTTACAGGTCATTGAAGCCTGCCTGGCACTTGCACTGACTTGCACGTCAAGAGCAGACCGTTGAAGGTCCCAACAACCTCGTGAACTTTGTACTGTAGGGCAAGATTTTAATGGCCTCCTGTGCTTTGGGCAGCTCTCCTTCAGGACACCAAGCCGTCGCCCTCGCCGTCGGAGCCATCCAGCTTCTTTGCAGACTTGGGCTTTGATCGCTCCCTGCTTTCGGGTGTTCCAGTGTCATGATGGCTTAGGGAGGGATTCCTCCAGCATCTCGTGCCCGAAGCTATGCTCAGAGGCGACTCCAGCAGTGACGAGGTGCCGGGCTTCTGAAACCCATGGGCAGCCGCGGGGATTTGTGGGTGAACTCCTCACCCGTCTTCAAACTTTTTTTCGATAGTCTTCATCGCTTTCTTGAGTTGCAGGTCTTCCGAGCGGATTTTTTCATTGGGAAGTGTCGGAGCGGCTGTGGCACGGATAACCGCAACAACAACAACAACAAGGCCTTCAATAATGCGAATAACGTCCTAGATGCCCAGATGAATGTGAGACGGTTTAATCCAACAGGGTACTTTGGCTAGAATGTTGACCGACGGTAGATGTTTATCACTTTGGCTCGCGTAACACAGTCCACTGATAGCTGTTCATGCCTGCTTTCGTCGGCCGAAGAGCAAATCAGGTGAATATTTTCCAGAGTGAATTTTGATAGTCTGTAGATGAGCGAAGGATGCAGGAAACAGTGAAAGGGTGTTTCTGATCAGGTCCTTGCCGGCTCTCTCACCTGGCCCAATCCTCTTCTCCCACACGTTTTTGCAGCGAGGAGCCGGAGAAGCCCGCAGGGGGCATCTCGCCCTCTACCCAGGCCCAGGCAGACGCAGGGTCACTCCTGCACCAAGCGGTGTGGGTTGAATGCACGTTTCAGGCTGCGTTCCCAGTTTCGCCATTGCAATAGATGCCACGACATGTCTGCAGCCGAATTTGCGTTTGCGAGCTTTCCAGGCGGTGCATCGAGCTTCGATACGTGGCAAACTGCGCCGTGCTGGAGTCTCTTGGCAGTTCATGTCGTCTTGTCCACTTCGGGGTTCAAGGGTTGGCAGAGGTGTCGAGGCAGCCTTATTTTTTTGTGCAGTGGCATTTGCACTCAGCATCTCGGACGTTCTCTGGCGGTTGCACAAGCACACAAGCGCCCAGCCCAGGTGCACAGTTTCATGGCTTTCGCGGAAGGCTTGCATCAACTTAACAGGCGGCCAACTCGCGACCATGTGCCTCGGCAGTCATGGGCTGAGGAGCAGACGTGGAGTCCCAGCCGTAAAGCAGCCCCTGAAGCGACTATACGATCTCGGTCTATGGAAAGGGTTAAAGCAGGCGGGCACAGTCGGAACAGCACCGTCTTCCCCCATGTCCCGTCTTGCACGAAAACATCCATGATGAATCCAGCACCTGAACGATCGGCGCATCGGTTTCCACAAACGAAACATAGCCATAGCCATCATGCCATCCAAGGCGATGCCTGGCGCTTCCGACGAAATGGAAGCGCCAATGCTGCAGATCCGTCTCTCGGACTCTTTGGAGCTTGCACATGTGAGTTTTTATAGGGCTTATGATCTGCATATAGGGTGCTGTAAAGGTTCTGTGACGGATGTGGAGGTAGAGGTCAGGCTCAACAACGCAGTCATGGCCATGGAAGCCTGGAGCCCCAGACCCTCTGCAACAAAGCCTGGAAGCTAGGCTCTGTCGACGGCACACGTCCGCCAGCCGCCATAAACGCAGCCGTCCCTCGCTTATGCAGTGACAGGATCGTTCCAAGTCTCGTGTTTGTTGTCGTGTCCTCCGGCACTATTGCAGAATTTGAACACAGAGAGATGCAGACAGAGGGGGATACAGACAGAGGGGGAGAGAGAGAGAGAGAGAGACGCTTAAGCATCTTCATTCTTTCTTCACACCCCTGCACCCAATAAAACATTGGGTGGGCCTGGCGCCCGGGGGCATTGACCTGCCCCTATGCCCCGGAGAGAGAGAGAGAGAGAGAGAGACTGTGTCCCAACTTCGCCGATCTAAGTGACTTGTAAGGATCAGGCGATGGACTTGTAATGGGATCGTGTGATGCAGAGGGGGAAATAACCCTCCTTCTCCGGGGCCACATGTTTTCAACATATCATGAAAGGGGGATGTCGCAGCCTTTATCATGGTTATCCGATATCCTTACTACTTCTATCACAGTCGACATCCTCATGCATGTTTCTCGGAGAATCGATTGTCAGGTGTTGTTATCGCAATCTATATGGCTTTGGCCCTCTGACACTCTACATTCGTTGTTCACTCCCCTTCACCCAATAAAACATTGGGTGGGCCCGGCGCCCGGGGGCTTCTGCGACTGGGAATCGGGAATCGGGGCTACTTGTAGTTTCACACCGACTCTCCAGACTCGGACGCTGGCTTGGCGCCAGCGCAGGGAGAGGGGGATCGCTCCCCTGACCCCAAGGCCGTACAAGCAAGCAAGCAAGCAAGGGAGAGCAACAGCGAGCGAAAGAGGGATAGTAAGGGATCGAGCACGAGCTGTGCATACGTACGGTTGCACCCTTGTCTGTTTGTCTGTCTGTCAGAGGGGGACACACGCGCACACATACGCACACACGCACACGCAAACGCCCGCGCCGCGCCGCGCCGCGCCGCCCGCGCCGCGCAGCGCACGGCAGCGCAATGCAACGTAACGCCCGCACTCGCACGTGCAGATGATGTCAAATCTATTTACCTACCCACCTACCTACCTACCTACCTACCTTCCTTCCTTCCTTCCTCCCTTCCTTCCTGCCTTTCTATTTATCTATCTATCTATCTATCTATCTATCTGTGTATCCAACAATCTATCTGTCAATCTATCTGTCTATCTAACTAACTAGGCTGGGTACCTATCTATTCATCTATCTATCTACCTAGCTATCTATCTATCTATCTATCTATCTGTCTGTCTGTCTGTCTACCTATCTGGCTACATATCTGTCTATCTATCTGTCTGTCTGTCTGTCTCTCGGTCTGTCTCTCTATCCATCTATCTATCTATCTATCTATCTATCTACCTATCTATCTGTCTACCTCTCTACCTATCTACCTATCTATCTATCTATCTATCTGTCTATCTACTTATCTATCTGCCTATCTATTTGGCTGTCTACCTATCTTGTCTATCTGTCTGTCTGTCTGTCTGTCTGTCTGTCTGTCTGTCTGTCTGTCTGTCTGTCTGTCTATTTATCCATCTACCTATCTATCTATCTATCTATCTATCTATCTAGCTTTTTTATCTAACCTATCTTTCCAGCCATCTACCCATTTTCTATATACATATATACATACAATCTGCATACATCGTACATGTATTCCTTTCCATTTCTGTTTGTACTAAGTATTCTTCGTGTATGCGCTTATGTATGCACTGCCTGCATGCATTCGGCCGCTCTTGCACAATAGGTAATGGCTTTTAGCTGTAAGCTCAGATAGCTGTAGTGGTATGTGCCGTGATGCCCAAGCTTGGGCGAAGTTAAGTCAAACGGCATGTGACGGCGCTTTTCAAGATCTGCTTCTTGAATCTTTTTCAAAGAGCCCTCCACGTACCTGAGCTAGGCCAAACTTGAGTGAGTCATCCAATTCCGTTTGCTTGTTTCCGCAGATAAGGCAAGCGAGGCTGCAGATCATTCAGCCGTCACCAAAACAGGCCGCAAGAGTGGTGGTGGTTGGGCATGTTCGCTTGTTCATGCTTGTTCTCAGAGTTCTACCATGTGGAGTCTCCATGCCTGTCCTGTTTCTGTGCTCTCAGCACTGTGGCCTTGATATGCAGCTTGCAACTGCGGCGATCGCATAAGCTTTGCTGCACTGAGTAGAACAACTCGAGAGTTTTGAGGAGAGCTCTGAGCTCTGCTGTCGACAGTAGCTGTCTGGGCTCAGCTTCAGAAAACTTGCGATCGCAAACGTCAGCCTTTTCAGATCGACCTCAGATCCGGAGCGGGAGAGGTTCCAAAACCAAAGCCAAAAGATTGAACATCCAAAGCCCTAAATGGAGGCTCCATCAAAAAGCGGCTTGGTGGTTCCACGACCTCGACCACCCTGTCAGACCGACTGAGGGAGGCCATCGGGTATTCAGTGCTTTGGGGTTTGGTCTGTTCTTTCGTGGGAAGGTTAATTCATCAGGCCTTTATCTTCCGAATTTAGATGCAGAGGCTCTGGGAAGACGGTTTTAAGTTCAGTCCGGGGCCGAAAACTCGTATGCCGCAACGTGTCAACCTTCACGAGTCGTTTGCTGAAATCACGCTTCTGCACCCATTTTGTTTCTGGTCTTGGTCCTGCGGGAAGCTGAGAATCCGCCCGTCCTCAACTTGCCAGAACTCTTAAGATTAGCCACGGCAGTCGGAATTGCTTGTAACTTCACTGGATGATGCTGGAAGAACCGTCAGAAAGATGTGTGTTGATGGGCTCGGGGCTTAGTTAGTAGCCGGATGTAGTGGCTTGGTATTCGAGAGTACCTGGGCGACTCTGCACCGTTTCACTCTAATGGCAAAGGCAGAAGTGAAGTGGAATATGCAACAGACAGAGTATCTAAGGTTTAGGATAGTGTGAGATGATGTGCAGGGGAGCAAGGGTTGTTGCTCTTCTTGCTTTAGGTTCAAGAGATTGGCAGAATCAGCCAGAATCAGAATATGGTCATTTTCAGTTTAGTTTACTCGTGGGGTTACAGCGCTGGTGAGGCAGAATCTGGTAGCTTGGCTCCGGTCCTGGTAGCACCTGGTGAAGTGGCCGACGAGGAACTTATTCCGAAGCAGCCTCGCTGTGTATCGGGAGACTATAAGGAGCCCAGGCTGCTCGTTTCACCAGGAGATCACAGCATAGGGCACCCTACTTCGATGCCGTATTCCGTGTACTGTTTCTGTTCAGGCGCAGCTGGCAGCTGATGCGGCTTCATCATCAAGGTAAGGGGCAGGGGGTCAGCACAAGACGCGGGCCCGTTCCAGAAGGAAGAACATAATTTCGTCGAATTTTTCAGCTAAGAGACTGCTCCTGAAACCCCTGCCCCGAGTGTCCTTCCGAAGCCCAGATTTCTTGCGGGAGGCAAGGGAGCCACGCTGCGTCGGAGAAGCCTCTGGTCTCTGCGATGTCGCTGCAGACGTCCATGCTGAAAACTATGCCCGGCTTGCATGCTTGGGTCGAGGGGAGAGGCATAGCACCTCAGGTTCCCGACAGATGAGCTCTGCTGGTTCTCGCGTCAAGACTTGAGAAGGATTTTGGTCTCAAATGAGTGCGAAGTGAAGTGCGCTGGAGAGATCACAGGAGACATGTCAAGGACATGTCCGACCAACAGAGGTTCTGAACCCTTTCCCTTTCCAGTAGCTGCCACCCCCCACCGCCAAGCAGCGGCTTCAAAGAGTAAGGCACCAAAGATGCAGAATCCTGGTAACCCTAAACCCCAGCCCCTAAACCCTAAACCCGAAAATCTAAACCCTAAATATGAGCACCAAAAGATGCAGAAACCGGGTCAAACCCCCCCCCCCCCCCCAAGAACAACTTAGAGAAAATATCAGAAAACCGCGGTGCCAGGCTCAAGAAGCCGGCGATCCAGGAGTCCAAGAAGCAATCCTCCACGATGAGCCCTTCGTCCTTCCCCGGATGGTTTGGGTTTAATAGGGTTGGTGGGGTTTGGGGTGGGGTAGCCGTGTGGCACGAGTCCACAGCACAGTCGGCGCCTTGGTTCCTGGCATATGCGTAGTCCAGGCGCAAAAAAAAGGGGGTTTTATGCATGCATCCATTGCGGACCGTCCCGAAGCGACCACTTGAGGACTGACTACGTGCAACACCGCGTCTTCAGTGTGCCTGACGGTGGGCACGCTTATGCGCATAAAAGATCTCATGAGGGGACCGGAAAGGCATCTGTGCCGCAACCGGTTCCTGTACAATTGTATAGCCCTCCTTGAGTGCCTACCGGTAGAGACGACCGGTGAAATGCCGAAACATTCTATCACACACCACTCCTGCTGTATGGTACTGAGGCCTCATGCGCAGTGCTGGGACTTTGCATGGAACCCCGACGCATCACAAAGCAAACGTTGAGCTGAGCTTCGATGGGCAGTTGCATGCAGACAGAAATTCCCGCAAAATGAGCAAAGACTAACACTTGTGACGTGAGAGGCTGGGCACACAAGGATATCTGAGGGCATGAACCTGATGCACCCAAGCTGCTTTGATCGACACTTCTCCAAAGGGTGCAGGTCTGGCAGCTTTGTCCCGCTTAGCAACATTAACCGGGGCTAACCAACCCGTTTCGACCATGAAAGCAAAATACATTTCCATCACCGAAAAACCTTTTTCATCTGGAACCCAACGATGCCGCGAGCACCAGTCGAATAACAATTGTGCGAAAGGCGGGCGCAACAAGAACACGTCCCAGTCTGGGACACTATTTTTACCAGGAAAAGCAGCCCCTGCATCAGCAGAAAGCATACCGACTCTATCTTGAAACATATTTAGCGAGAGCGGGCCTACGTGAAGGTTTAAGCGTACAGACTCACGGTTGTGGTGCTTTGTGCTGAAAACATCGGCCACGCTTCTTCGCAGAGCATACACTTGTGCCTGTGCAGCACGCATGTTTTTCACAGCTTGCGCAGCGCGGCGGTGGCAGTGATCGACACATTTGTCACGTTGAGAAAACACCGCCTTAGCATACTCATCTGCAACACCATTGTGGAACCAAAGCTACGCATGCTCCTCATCAGGTGCTGTGCGCCAATCCTGATGACTATTGACTTTCACGATCCGCCAAGTGCCGCTGCAAGTTTTAAGTGCTTGGGAAATGGCAAACCAGATATCAAGATTGCTGTGCTTCCACACTTGCCTGACATCCCAGCCATGCTGCAGTAGCAAATTAAAACCTGCAGCAGCAATTTTCGAATCGGACTAAAGACCCCGCCAAGCCCAAAAAGTTCGGCTGCAAGGCCTGCAAAAATCTCGGCTCTGTTGTTCGTGTGGTGTTCACCTGGCACATAATCATGCAGCACTTTGGCTTGACTCAGCATCCCAGGTTCTGCAAGCACAACAGCCCAAGCAGACAGACGGAGGACTGGATCCGTCGGATGCTGGGTGGAACCATCTGTGAACAAGTGAACGTCTTCGCCTTCAAAAAACTTTGTCACAGTTTCGCAAGTGCGGGTGCGCATCAAATTTTTGAACTGAAGCAGCTCCGGTGGTTCTTGAGACAAGCCCCATTGCAACTCAAAAGTGCTCAGGGTCGCAGGCAGCGTCAGCGATTCTTTGCAACTCAACGTAGCTGGGCAGTGCAGAAGCATATGTTCAACCGAAAGCTCTGCCTTTCAAAAGGGGCACAACAGATTTTCTGGTGCTGCAAAATGCTTCCGTCGCGATGCCGGCACTATAGCGCCACATGCGTAGTTTGCCACTGGAGCATCGTAACGCCGCCCAGTTTGAAGCACCTGCCGAACTAAACGAACTGAAAAATTTTGGAGACCCTCCAACCCTTAATAACTTTGCACAGCTCGTAACTAAAGCATTGCCAGAGTGCTGGAGCCACTCGTGACTACGTCCGAAATATAAACGAGCGTTGTCGCCTGCTTCTGGGATGCACGGTGCTGCTTGCGCACCTGATTCGCTCGATGCGACCATGCCGAGCAGTAGTGGGATTGGAAATGCTTCATGGCCATACCATGTTGGGACTCTTGTGGTCGGACAGTCTTAAAGCCTCGAAAATGCGGCGATGTGTCAACAGTCCAGATATTACTTGGGTACAATCTCAGGCTGAGGGACTGAGGGGTTTTGCCGTGTTTTTCGTGTCATTGGAGTTTGGAGTTCAAGCTCTCAGGCCTGATTGGAGACTACAACTGGGACAAGGCCGGGAGCTACGTCAGACTGTAGATTGTACTCCAAGTCTAGATGACGTGAATTCAGATTAAGCAGAGGGACCGTCGAGATTTGCCGAACCAGAGGAAGCTCTGAGCTAAGTATCAGCCCTACAACACAAGATGGCAGAATTTGGAGTGCTCAAGTTCGCACCTGGCCCTACCCAGCACAGAGCCATGGCAGTGTTGTCGTTGTTGGGACTTCTGTTCCCCGTCCTGTCTTCGGCTCAGTCCCAAGGCGGAGACTACATGAGCCAGTATGCTGCTCCGTACCAGCAGTACATGCAGGGAGCAGCCGGCAGTGGTAGTGATGGCTACCAGAAGTACTACAGCAAGTACACTTCGGAGTACGGCTCCGGTGGTGGCGGAGGCTATGACAAGTACATGTCGAAGTACGCTGGCAACTATGCAGCTAAGTACATGCCGTCGTCCGAGTCTGACAAGTCTTCTGAAGATGCAAAGAAGGCAGTAAGCTTCGCCGCAGCGGAGGCAAGTCTAGGGACCATGATGGGGTGCAAGAGATCCCCGCTTTAAGCAAGAGATCTCTCTAAACGACCTGACAACCCCGAGTTCCCTTAGGCCGGCCCGGAGAAGAAAAGCGACGACTCGGCTGGCCAGAGCTTTCAGAAGTATATGGACTATGCCAAGTACACCCAGGGTCAGGGCTCCCAGGCCAGGTATGCGAAGAGTGTTCCGAATGCCTATCATGAAGAAATGCTTGGTTTCTGCCTTCAGGACTCGAGCTGCGTAGAGTTCAGGGCTTGCGAAATCTTGCTTCGTCTCTTTTGTGGTCCTAGTGTCGCCCGAGCTTTGTTCGGGGACTTCAGGTTGGAGACTTTATATGGGGTGTAGCATGAGAGGGTAGCCGGGATGCAGCAGAAGGTGGGTCGTCTTAGATGGCCCTGCCTCGTCTATGGTCTGTGCTTGACAAGTTGCCTCTTAAGGAGAAACTTGATTCTTTGGGTTTATGAAGACTGGGTCGCCCGGCCCTTGTTGGCAGGGCGGTGCCGGTGACTACAAGC